TTGTATTTGATTCTCTCCGGTTTAGGATAGGACTCTTGTGAGACTGTCTGGTTTAGGACCATAGGTCTCTGATGTATCTGAGACTGTCCAGTTCAGGACCAGTGGACTCTGATGTTTCTGAGATTATCCGGCTCAGGACCAGTGGACTCTGATGTATCTGAGACTGTCCAGTTCAGGACCAGAGGACTCTGATGTATCTGAGACTGTCCAGTTCAGGACCAGTGGACTCTGATGTTTCTGAGATTATCCGGCTCAGGACCAGTGGACTCTGATGTATCTGAGATTGTACGACTCAGGACCAGAGGGCCATGAAGTATCTGAGAATATCCGGCTCAATACCAGAGGACTCTGAAGTATCTGAGACTGTCCAGCTCAGAACCAGTGGACTCTGATGTCTCTGAGAATATCCGGCTCAGGACCAGTGGACTCTGATGTATCTGAGATTGTACGACTCAGGACCAGAGGGCCATGAAGTATCTGAGAATATCCGGCTCAATACCAGAGGACTCTGAAGTATCTGAGACTGTCCAGCTCAGAACCAGTGGACTCTGTTGTATATGAGAATGTGCAGTTCAATTCAATTCAATTCAATTCAAATTCAAAAATACTTTATTGATCCCAGAGGGAAATTAGGTGTTGTTGTAACTCATTTAACTAAAGAATTATTGTAGATGCTGATGGCTGTGGGCAGGAAAGATCTTCTGTAGCGGTCTGTATTACAGCGAAGTTGAAGAAGCCTCCGACTGAACACACTTTGTCTTTCTATGACACTCTGATGAAGAGGATGGTCAGGGTTGTCCACAATGTTCTTGATTTTATGTAAAATCCTTCTTTGCACCATCATCTCCAGAGATTCCACAGTCGTCCCCAGAACAGAACCAGCCTTCTTTATCAGTTTAGGGCCAGTAGACTCTTGTACTGTATCTGACACTTTCTGGTTTAGGCCCACAGGACTCTGATGTAACTGAGACTGTCCAGCTCAGGACCAGTGGACTCTGTTGTATCGGAGAGCTGGAAAAAAGGACCCGAAAAGAAGAGTGATAACAAGGTTTAGATTTGGACATACAGGACTTATTTTACACATTTTTCCAATTCAAAAGCATAATACAGGGAAATGTGATTATTGTGGACAATATGACACCATAGAACATATTGTAAAAGTCTGTCAGAAGTACAAACAACAGAGACAATTTATGATAAGACAGTTCAGAAACATTAAGGAAAGGTTTGACATAATAGACACATTACAAAGGAATTTAGGGAGCAAACATAATCAAATCATGATGCAATTTTTGAAAAAGGCAATATTCTTTAACAGAATTTGAGTTGATAAAGTAATTTTATGTATTATTTATTTATTTATTTTGAATAGATATATTTGAAAATGTAAATAGAAACAAAATAATTTTAGTAGGATAYAAATATTAGTGAAATCATCTTGAACCACACTCCTTACCAGTAGGTGGCGGTAATGCACAACTTCAGTTAATTGCCAACAGCCATTAAACACCACAAGAAGAAGAAGAAGAAGACACAGAACAAACAAAACACACATCCTCACATGAGGTCGCCCTCTGATGAGGAGTTGCTGAAGAAGACGAGGCGAGGAGGCTCTGAACCAAACAGGTTTATGGTCCCTTCAATATTCCGACGTAAGATCTTGTGGAGTGGGATGGTCTGGACCCCCTCTGTGGTCTGAATATCAAAATATCAACCCCATGTTCACTGTAGACCAGGGCTATTCAACTAAATTGCTCCGGGGGCCACAGTTACTGCCGGTCAACAGCTGAGTGGCCGAACACCCAGCAATTAAAGTTATTATGTAAATAAACCAAGTATTACAAAGATATGTTACCTTTGAATTAGTTTATTTTGCTGCATTTTATCATGAATACAACATACAGAACCCTATAAAAGTAGTGATAATTACACATTATCAAAAACAAAAAGAACACATTATGCCTCCTATTATTAGACACAAATAATATTTTGCCATCTCTGACTTGCCAAATTTTAAAACCAATTTTATTTTCATTTTCATCATTTTGTCTTCAACTGCTTGTAGTTTTAACTGCCTTGAGTGTTTATAGAAATGGTTTTTACCAGCTTCTGCTAAGATTCTGACGTTTCTGTAGATACCAATCATGTCTATGTTTAACCAAAGGAACTTAGAGTAATTAAGTATAAATCCGGGGGTTTGGGCCTAAGAGATGAATAAACCAATTGGGGGCCCGAACTTTGGTCACTCGCGGGCCAGATGTGGCCCACGGGCTGCCAGTTGAATAGCCCTGCTGTAGACCCTCAGGTGAGAAGAGAAAACAATCTTGTTCTTCATTCACTGAAGTTACTCACAGTTGATACAGTATCCAGAAATTTTACTTAAATACGAGGAGCGATACTTAATAATAAAATTACTCCAGTAAAAGTGAAAAGTACAGCAAAGTAAAAAATATTCCTAAAAGTACATTTTTTCCAAAAACTTACTCAAGTAAATGTAACTAGTTACTACCTACCAGTAACTCTGACTAGCAGTAAACTTCTAGTGCCATTTTATTAGTTTATAAAAGTACCCTTTTACTGAAAGTAACATTTTAGTTTGCTGTCACTATGAATACATTTGTAGTTCACTATTCAGTGTATAAAAATACATTTTCCAACATATACCCACTTCTTCTGTTCCAAGCCACTGGTGCCCATATCCAGCACTCACAGTGGTTGGGGTCTACCCTGGTCATCACAGAGACACACCATATCTGCGGGAGGAAACCATAGTACCTGGAGAAAACTCACACATGCACGGAGAGAACAATCCCAGACTGGGATTTGATCCGGCAACCTTCTTGCTGAGAGGTAATAGTTCTACCAACTGAGCCACGCTACATTTTCCTGTACACTCTACTTTTAATCCTGAGTGAAAAGTATTGTCCATAGTCTTCTTTACAACAGTTCACTTGTTTTTATTGCATTTGTTCCTAAAACTGACAAAAAATGTAAATTATGTTTTGTTTGAATATATTCTGGGGATAAAAGGGGCAGACATTATAAGATTTATTCTTCTTCTGCTACCTTTCATTTTATCTTAATTTTTGATCTGTGTATTTTCTACGGAAGCGTATTGCTATCACGCAGGGGGGAAAAAAATCCGAGCGCTATCACGTTATAACGTGATACGTATCTCGTTAAAACGTGATACGTATCTCGTTAAAACGTGATACGTATCTCGTTAAAACGTGATAATTCTATGTCCAGGAAGTGGCGGCATTATGCTAGGCTAGTACAGTGCCTGACTGGTCGGGTTTCCCTTCATGTTTGGTCTACACACGGATACGGATGCTGCTGTAGTTTTTGTCCCTCTTTCAGGCAGTTTTGGTCCTGGGTCTCCTAAAGGCTGTTTCAGCTCTGATCGGATCATCTCAGGAAGATTCTGCCCGTGGTTACAGGATGTTTACAGTTTCCCTGACAACGGGGAAGTTTTGCTAAAGTCAGTCAGCTGCCTTCTCAAGGTTATATCACAAAAGTAATGAATAGATTTATGTTGAACTTTTAGGAAATGTTTATTACTCTTTCAAAAACGGTTATTACACCACAGAAACATCTGAATAAAGTTTGAAATATTTCAGAGTAAGAGCGGGGCTGCGGCTCCCATGATTGTCTTCTGCAGATGAAGCTCGCCACGCGCGGACATTTCTCTGTAGCAAGCCGCTCGGAGGTTTTCTCCAGCGGTTCTCAGATGTTTATTCTCTTTCACAACAAAACGGGGGACGGGAGGGTGGAGGAGGCTAACCTCCGTTTCAGGATTCATTTGCCTGGAAAATATGAAAAATAAATAAATAACCACGTCGGATTTTGATGAATTTTTCAGGAACATTCTGTGGTTAAAAAGTGTGTTGATGAGAACACGACAGTGCCTTAAGTTTATATAACAACAGATCCACTGAATTTACCTTGAAGATGCGGCTTCATACAGTTGTGTTCTGAGGAAAAGATTCAAGCGAGACCTAAGCCCGAAACAACAAGTTGTCTCCGCACTCACAGTATTCACTTCCTGTTTAGTCTTTCACAATAAAACCAGATACAACAAAACAGATTGTACCACACGTACCATGCGTCCAACCTGTCGACACAATCTGCGCGCACTGATTGCAGAAACTGAGGGCACAGATTAGCCCTTAGTTTCCGAGCGGCTTGCTACAGAGAAATGTCCCCGTGTGGCGAGCTTCATCTGCAGAATGACAATCATGGGAGCCGCAGCCCCGCTCTTACTSTGAAATGTTTCAAACTTTATTCAGATGTTTCTGTGGTGTAATAAACGTTTTTGAAAGAGTAATAAACATTTCCTAAAAGTTCAACATAAATCTAT